GCATTGGCTCGTTTAGTTTACACTCGAAGTAGATTGGTCTCTCTAAGCGAGATCCCAATTCGTCGGTCATCCGACGTGACGTCGAGAGTGACCGACTGAAAGGGAACTACAAATTAAATAAATTAATTATTAATGATATAACAATTAAATAATAATGCATTAAATATTTAGAAATATTTTTTTATTTAAATTAAAAACTACATTTTTAAGTTTTATCTTTAACTGTAGAAGCTGCTAAATGTATTCAGCCAACAGACTTGTTGCTGCTGTAGTTTTGCTACTCTGAATTTAGTCTGAATCACTTCATGCACAGCTCTGTTTTTGACATCGACTCGTCAGATGTTTTGTTGCGTCCGTTGCTTTACCACTGTCAATCATAGCAATAACTCGCAGCACAATTTAGCGGATTCACTCGCTTAAATTTTTACACTCGCGTTTGTCATTCCTGAAACTGTATACGTACACGTTTGGTCCTCTTAGACAAACAAAACATTTCTTCAAATTGTGAATGGATTATGTAGAGAAACAGAGCAAAATGTGCTCCCCTTATAGCACAGCTGATTTTGACAGTTGACCAGAAATGCCCGAGCTGGCTCATCTAAAACCAGGAAGTAACCATGCATACAGTATAGTCAATTAATTTGCAACTCAAGCACAACTTGAGTCCAAGTCTCAGACTAGAATTTCTATCTCTGCCATATAGAAGCATAGAGAGCAGCACACGGTAGGCTAACTATGTGTATTCAGTGTATAGCTTGGACTCTATGACTGATTAAATTGGATCACTGTCAGATTAACAACAGGGTGACCTGACTTAATCAAACAGCCTGCTGCATCAGAAGCTTACATGACCCACAGATCTACGAATTCAAACAAGCCTGCAATGTTTCCCTAACCTTTTCTAGAACATCTCCACTACATCACTGGAAACAATAAAAATAGCCGCACCACCCAGTCAAGCATTAAGAACGGCGGCAGCGGGGGGGTCCAGGGCCGGTTCAACTCACTCCTTCCCCATCCCCCCTGAGTTTCCTGGGTCCTGATTGATCTCACGGCCCATCGGCGGGTTAAATTACACTGCATAGTGGCTTTGCGGAGAGACAAAGGGCCCAGAATTTCACAGGCCATAATTCTTTCCGGGCCTTAACTTTGAAAAGGTGCACCATTCAATTTCAGCCCTCAGTAACACTTTGCATTCACTTATGAGTTATGACACAGCCATAACTGTGTACCAATCAGACCAAAGGGAGGATGGGGAGGGGGTAAAAAAAAAACTCTCTGTCAGCACCAAGCATCAGTTATAGCGAAATTTAATACAGTAAATAAAAGCGGCTCATCTTCTGGCTGAAGCTAAAGACGAGCTTGCTTCTTTCCACATTCTACTTGCAGAAAGCATTGAAGTAAAGTCGGGTATGAAATGATTTACATGTACATTCATGTTTGGATCTCAGTCCAAAGTGACATCCAGGCTCCCATAGCTTCCTGGCACATAGGGAATGGAGAGGAAGCCCAGGGAATGGCAGAGGCCTTTTGATACTGCAACTCTGCCGAACCAGCAACTCGGAAGCCAGGACAGCATGAGATCCGGAGAGAAAAAAAAAACAGTCAAAGCACAAAAAGACCAGCTGCTTCCAGATCATGGGCGTCAGCGGAAAAAAATGGAAATAGGCCAACAAGGCAGCAAAGGAATAATGGTGTTAATTAAGACACCTGTTCTTCTCTGAATTCACTCACCTAAACAACGCTTTCAATAATGCCAGAAAAATGTGCTCTACATTTCAAAACGGTTTAATAAAGAGAATATATACAGGTATATTGTGCTTGTAAAAAGAGCAAGCATTGGGAATGTAATGCTGTTAATCAGATCGATTGGAAATGTCTTTACTATTGGCCAACCGCTAAAGTGCTGGAGACAAGTTCAAGATCTGTCAAACCATGGGCCGGTATTGATGTTTGCACCACTTCAATCTCACGCAGCACCCGTTCAAATCAAAGCACTGAACTGAACAGCATTTTGTCTGCTGTACTCTGTAGATTCAAATCTGAAATATACTCTATGCAAGTATATTAACACTAATGCTTCTAGCTACTCGATTTCACGCATCAATGAATGAATCCTGGAATGCAAGTCCAAACTTCTACAGTCAGTTTTCTCCTTCAGGTCAACAACTGTCATGATGGAGCAATAGTTTCTTATAAGAGAATCTTATAGACATATTAACAACTCTTTGTGTTCTCAAGGATTACAATACAAGGATTAAAAATACAGTTTAAAGGGATTTAGCACCCAAAAATGAAAATTCTGTCATTTACTTACCGTCTTGACGTTTCAAATCTGTTTGAATTTGAATTTGAAAAATATTGCTAAGCAAACAGTTTTGGTTACCATTGACTTCCATTGTATGACAAAAAAAAAACACTTAGACATATCTCAAAATATCTTCTTCTATGTTCTACAGTAGAAAGTCAGTCATACAGGTTTGAAATAGCGTGAAGTTGAGTAAATGATGACGGAATTTTCATTATGCTTTAAATAACTCCTTTTTGGATACTAAGGTTTATTACTGCCAGATTTGCGCAAACATATATGTTAAATGAAAAAAGTGTAATGGCACATTCAAGTCATGTCGGATAGATTATATTAAGGAGTTGATAGCATGTGAATGGCACCACAAAGTCCTAATTATGAGTGGGGAGATTGAATTTTCTTTGAGCCCAGAGTTTCTGAGTTGGGGGTGTGAAAGTGAGAAAACTTTGTAGTTGATGGTAAATTTGTTAAATGTATACAATTATTTTTTATTTACAATAAAACTAGCTAAGCTGCATGTACAAAGTACCATTGTTTTGCGCAATTATGAATATTTAACAATTCCATTTACAGCACCTTCATATATTCAGTGAAGTAAAAACATCTGATATGCATTCTTCATTTTGTAGAAGTAGAGTTAAAAAACCTTGCTGTATTTTTTGTAGAAAAGGTACATCGCCATCTTGTTCTGACCAATGTGATTTGAATGTATCTGACATCGTAATTACAACTTCCCCACTCATAAACTTCCAAGGAGGACTTGAACGCACAGTATTTTTTTTGCCCCACTAATTTCAACGAACACTGAATGTTTATAAATGCTTCCTCAAACTATTGGTGGGATCAACAAATCATGCTGCCAAAAACTGAATGAATGTTGGGCTGAGCAAAGTTAAAAGTGCAACATTTACACTTTTTTCAGAAAAATCAAACTAAAAAGGGGCTACTGGTGAAAAAAAATATTTGAGAATTTTTAACATTTTTATTAGGGATGCACTGATACCACTTTTTCCAGTACTCGCCCGATACCGATACTTTTATTTTTGGTACTTGCCGATACCGAGTACCAATACCGATATTTTTATTGCATTTGTACATTTTTTAAATATTGGGTATAGAAACCAAAAGGGTATGTATAATATGAGTTAGTCATTTATCAAATAGATACAGTCAAACCAAAATTTATTCAGACACCTTCAACATTTCTCACATTATCATGTACAGGAGACCAGTATCGGGCCCGATACCGATACCAGCATAGGTATCGGTGCATCCCTAATTTTTATGTATTTTTAAAAGTTTAAAAAGCATTTACAACAGCGCCACAAACTTAAAACGATTATGCTTAAGTTTGTGGCCCTGTTGTAAATACTTTTAAAATTTTCAAAAATACAAAAAAATTATGCTAAAATCCTTTTTTCTACAAAAATACAAGCACTTGCATTGTGCGTGAATTATGTTTCTGACCATATTAAATGTTTGAATTAACCGTGAATACCTTGTTTAGTCCAGTAGTTACATCATGACATTCGTAATCCTAGATCCACAAAACCATCTGTAAGTTTCCTCAAAACACCGCAGCATTAAACAATTCTGACACACAGAAAATAAACTGCTGCAGGGGTCAAGGACAACACAGAGGAAGCGTGTCAAGCTAAAGTACACACTCGGTTCGCGGCGCGGAGCATCGGTTTTCCAGCGTATCCATAGCTGGTGGGCAATACATCGCTTCAGATAAAGTCTTAGATAGAGAAAGTGGTAAGCACTCTGTGTGAACCGAGTTTGGGCTCGAAAACAGTGACCTCACAGATTCTAATCCCTCATCTCTCTTTGCACGCTTTCCTCTGAGACGAACTGCCAGAGGGGAAAACTTGAAAGCTAAAGAGAGTGAGGGAGGGTGCGTGAGAAAGAGCGTGTGAGAAACAATGACAAAATGACATGCAAAGAGGAAAGAGTGTAGAGAAGCGGGGAAAAAGCACAACAAAGTCACATTTAGGTGCTGGCTTACCTGCACACAGTTCAGAAGACGGGACGGTGAAGTGAGGATAGTCAAAGGGGTTGTGGGATGAGGGTCCGGGCAGGTTGATCCAGCCGCTGACGGGTGGTCCGGGAGGGAGGAAGGAAGGATGGAGTGGCAGGGAGCAGGGAGACGGGGAGGCCAAAGGGGGGATATGAAGCACTAGTCCTCTTTCTTTCCCTCTTTATCCCTCTGGCACAGAGGCATAGAGGCAGACACCAGTACCTGCAGCCACTCAGATAATAGGAGAGAAAAGAGTGCTCACATCCACACACGCTCCAGCACAGGGAGGAAAGAGAGAATGCCCCTCCCACTCCTTCCCAGGACCCAATCGTACACACACTTCACTGGCAACGAATGGGAGCGCAGGCAGCCGGTGCCATGCCCTAGCCAATAAGTGCAATTGCTCATATCCAGTTGGAATAATTAGTCCGAGAGCAGAGCGGAGCGGCTTCCCTTCTGAAGGACAGACAAACGGGCGCACTTACCCAATAAGTGTGATTTAAGACCGCAACCGACATTAGAGTAATTCGATTGTGCCGCACTTAACCTAGCAGAATAACGCTGCATGCTCCACTGCAGAACTGGCAGAGGCGCAGGCTACACGGGAAGGGATTCGGAAAGGTGCAATGATGTTAAGCAGGCAGAAATCATGCGTATAGAGAAGGAGAAGGAATAACTTTTAACACGGTGATCAATGTGCATGATTATCACACTGTAACACTTTCAGGCTTGGCGCTGTGTCCCATTATTTATAATCCGGGACAGAAACAAAGAAAAAAAAAACTTAGTATCAAAAAATTCCAAATGAAATTCTACATTTTGGCCAAAAAACATCATAAATTCCTGCTATTTTTTTAATATTATTATTATTTATTTACAAACCAAACAAAAAATAACCGCACACTTCAGTGCACCTGAATGTCACACAATGTCCTGCACCTGAGCCTTCGGGGGGTTTTTTTGTTTTTGTATTTTTGACTTATCTTGACTGTATTTTCTTATTTATTTACACCATCTGACAGTTCTTAATATGCATTTTTAGGTCTGGTTATGCGTATTATCACATACTGTAAAATATGAGTTCATTTTATGAACTTATTAAATACAATTACATATATTCACTACCGTTCATAAGTTTGGGGTACAATTTTTTTGAATGAATGACATTAATGCTTTTATTCTGCAAGGATGCATGCATTTGATCAGTAACATTGTTTAATATTACAAAAGATATCTATTTCAAATAAATGCTGTTCTTTTCATTTTTCCATTTATTAAAGAATATTATATTAAAGAAAAAATCATGGTTTCCACAAAAATATTAAAAAGCAACATAATAATAATAATAATAATAATAAAAGTTTCTTGAGGACCAAATCAGCACATTAGAACGATTTCTGAAGGATCATGTGACACTGAAGACTAGAGTAATGGCTGCTGAAAATTCCGCTTTGCCATCACAGAAAAAAAAATATATAATAATTGTTCTTTTTAATCAAACTTTTGAACTGTAGTGTTGTTTTAATTGTTTTATGTTTTAATATGTCATAAGGATGACAGTACATTTTTATTTGGCTATAATACCATTAAACATATCACCTTAATACAATTAAAAATGCACCTAAAAATCAAGTCTGGGGTGGCAACTTTTGCCTGTTAATCAAAAAGTTAATTTTCTTTTCTTTTCTCTGCATAAAACCAAAATCACAGACCCGGAACGGAGCTCATTTCATAAGACCTTTTTTTTCTGTTTTCCAGATCAATACTCTGGCTCAGGTCTTGGCTTGAGAAGTGATCAATGGTGAACTGTTAGAATGACGAATGAAAAGCACATCGGCACTATCCCCTTCACAGCAGGAAGAACCGATGTGGGGACAGAGATGTAACAATGTCCTATTAACAACCACAAGGAAGGCACCTCTATATACTTTCAGGATGACAAGGTGGTGCTCAAAGTGGTGAAACTTCTTTTAGCACACGATTCTGCTGACGTCCGAGTGACCCGGCATTATTTCAGGGTCGAGGCTCCCGAGCTATTCTCGGTTTACGCACTTCTGCTCAGTGAATCTTGTGCAGCGGTGAAATCGATGCACCTATCGATATCATGCATCATAACATGGGCCGATATGCATAATATGAGCAAGCACAAACCTATGATGATTCAGCAGGTGTTCGCACACAGCCCTCCCATACATCACATACATCAGAGTATCAGTATTTACAAGTAAAGCAGCTTAAGCATGGAGTTGATAGCGACGGTGAAATGTGCTATAGACTGTAGCACGCAGGGCTTCCTCTATGGCTTATTTTAATGACAAATGTCGAGAGCGCATTATTGTATCGCGAAAGCACATTAATACAATGCGCGAGCGCAAATCTCTCCGCTCGCGCGCGGATTTCCTTTGCTCTCGCACAAAACCGGACGCGCGCGCTCAGATACACGCTGCTCTCGCCCAGAGAGAGTGCGCGCACTTAAAACATGTCTCCTCTCACTCAAACTGTGTCCTGTGCACTCTCAAATCTCTCTGTGCTCATGCGCTATAGATATTAATTCTTTTCGCACCTGAATTAAATGTTGTCAAATGTTTCATCATTTCAAAGATGGATCTGTAATTTCTTTACAATTTAATACTACTTTTCCATATTTGTATCGTGAAAAGCGCCGTACAAATAAACTTGAATTGAATTGAATATACACTAGGGTGGCTTGAGGGTGATTAAATCATGGGGTAATTTAAATTTTTGGGTGAACTATTCCTTTAAAATGCCCAAATCTTCTCCCAAAAGCCTCTGGCTGATTGAGGGGTGCAAATGTGTGTATACTTAACAGCATCATATTCTGTAGACCCATCAACAATAGGGGTTCCCTCAGGGGAAATCCATCAGAAAAAAAATAAAAAAGATAAATGACAAAAGTGGCCTAATTTAACTGAAACTAATATAGAAAGTATAGCAGTTAAGTTTTATCTGTAAGACCTCTGCTATTAACTTAACACCTCATCAGTCAAATCCTCGGTTTAGAACACAATTCGATTTGGATTTGTCTAAAAAAGACGCTTCTATGTTGACTCGAGAACCGTCAGGACATATTCATTTCGAATAGTAAACGAATCATTCAAACCATTTTGATGCGAACCTATTCATTAAAAAGATCCGATTCAAAAGAGCAATTCGTTCACGAATCAGACATCGCCGTCGGTGGTTAAATATGAAGCAATGCTGGTGATGGACACACTGTATTATTTTTTTCTCCTTCCCTTCAGTCTTTACATTGCCTTTAATATACATTAACAATAGATAGTTTTTTCTTTTAATCTATTCTTTTAATAGGTTTTCCTATTTCTAGATTTATGTATTTAGTTTGGAAAATGTAAATTTGACGAGCTACGGTAAGCCTGAAGGTTAGCGATGAATATTTACATTTTGAACCAATCAGTAAACAACACTTGACAGTGACATAAACCCTCAGAGGGAAGCGAGTTCACGGCAAAACATCTACATTGGATAACAGGTCAAATATATATTGATCATAAGATACAGCAGAAAATCGGGAACGCAGATGATTTGCCAAAACTGGTTCTAAAGGTCAATTCACTGCCGAACTACAGCAGCTCTGTCACGACAATAAGCACGCATATTATTTCTTTCTGCTATTCAAAGCTACAATCGCTGTTTATCGCGATCATAAATTTGTGTAAATGCGTTTATGCTGCCTGTGCCGCTGCCAGAGAGAGCGTCAGCTCTTGCAGGGTATTTGTAGTTTTGATGAGGCTGTGCCATCTTGTCATTTCTGAAGCACCTACTGTACATTTCTCGTCTCCATATTTCTCAGAAAGTTCATCCAAATATACAGGTATTTTCTTCTTATTATGTATTAGTCCGTTTTGGTATTATTTGTATTAATTATTATTTGGTTACCTGATCATTAGTGATGTAGCAGCTGCTCTTCTCACTGTTGTCACAATGGTTATATTTCAGTATCTTTAAGGTTGAAATGTCCAAGTGTGTTGTTTTCAAATACATAATTCCAAACTTGTATGTATGTATGTAAGTGTTTATGAGCATTGTGTTTGCCTTTTCATCAATAGCCTTTCCTAAGGTATATGACTATACAGAAAAGTGAAAGGTAAACACTTGATTAAAAAGTGAAAACTGGTTCCCACAGTTTGAAAACAAAAACAAATAAACAAACAACACACAAACAAAAAACTAAATTGACTCTAATATTATTCTAAAATGTGTAAAATTGCTAATCAAATAAAATAGAAATATTAAAAAAATACTCATGATTTTACTTCTAGTACAGTTAATACAGCACTGCAGTATCCTAAATATAAGCCTTCATTTTCTATTCTTTGTAATCAGCTTTTTATACTGACCCCCCAAAAAAGGGGTGACCGATCCAAAAATGCTTGTTGCACCCCTGTCGAGTGATATAGTATCCACGTAAGTCTTTGTGACTGCAAACACGGGGAACAATCTGCAGCTGACTGCAATCTCTAGCGCTGGCACAGGAAATCTATATTTAACAGCAAGTAAGTAATAACAAAGCGCATCCAAATGGTCTACAGACGGTAATGATACGAGAGCGGGGCAAGATGTTGGCTTTAATTACATTGGTAGCGGAGGCAAAAGCCATGTCCGTTAGACGTGCTGTGTTTATGCTGTCTTTGTGAGTCACTGAAACGAAGATGCTGTGCCGCTGAGCGCTGTTGGTTTTATGGAGGTGGTTTATGCTGCTGCTTCATTTACTATCTTGCACTCTCATCTTTGCATATGAAGCTGCCAAACCTGTCAATGAGATGCAGCTTAAATGAGATGTCACAAGAATGGCTATGGAAATATGATAGCCCTCATTACTCAAAATTATATTGAGCAAAATATTGGCTTATTTGTTGCACTAACAATGAAATCATAATCATTGCAATCTACTGACTTTCAGCCATATGAGCAGGGTCCAAAATTAATTTTATGCCTCACTCATGCACCAGTGGATGTTAACTGAGACAATTTGCGATCCATAAATATTTTTACTGACCATGAAAATGTATTTTAGATAAAGCATTAAAGGAGTCATATCATTAGGAATTACATTTTTAGGAATCATCATTTGAGATAATAATCAAGTTGATTGTGCTATAAAAACATACACTGTAACTTTTACTAAAATGTTAAGTTTTAGGTTTAATATTTCCAATCCCAAACATCATCTGATCATCTCCCATCACTTATGTCAGATGAAACATTG